CGAGCCCCCCCCCCCCCCCCCCCTCCCAATCCTCATTGAAGAGTTATACCAATTTAGTCATGTTTTATATTCCCGTTGAAGTTATGTTCATTTGGCATGAGTGGCCTACGCGCTCTTACTTGATGTCTATTGTTGTTGTCCTATAGCCGGTGAGTCCTTTGAATCATAGGAATGACAAAATCAGTAGATATCGAGCTTTATTATTATTGGTTTTTTTTGCATCAATACAAAGGAAAATGACAATTATTACATCAAAATAAGGGCAAATATTCCATTAAAAATTAGGGAAAATGCATATAAAAGTTCACTCATGAAAAATAGAGGAAGGAAAAAAAAAAGTTGTCCTTCACTTTAGAAAAGATGAAATTTCACGAGTTAGCAATACAATAAAGACGAATTTTATGAGGTTTTCTCGATTAGCCGATAGTTGAATTGAAATAGCTCAAATTGCAAACAAGTTCTAATTAGTAGACATTTTGAGCATTTCATCCATCTTTAAAAGGAAATCATTGAAACACTCATCCATAGTGCAAAAGGACTCATTTGGGTATAAATCACAAACTTCAAGGTCTTTTTTGCCATCAATAGAAAATCCAATTTGACAGCCCTTTATGAAAATTTCATGTGTCAAAGATGCAACTACACTTCTAGGGATTATTTTCTCTGCAAATTAAAGACAACACATTAAAAATTAATATAATCTATTGAAAATTATGATTTTAAAAAATACACTAATTGTGATGCAATTTGCAAATATTCTTTCCACTCTATTTTTTTTCTTCATATAGTTAAAAAATATTTTTGATTTTCGTAAAATGAATCATTTCATTCTCCAAATCGCATAAGTAGTGACTTATACGAAGAGGTATACGTTGTACACTTGTTTTGGAAAAATAGCCAAAAAAAATGGCTATTTTTCAATTACAAGTAAAAAAATGGATATTTGTGGATTTTACGGTTCAATCATTGGGCCTTTGTCTCCTACATGAATCCAGTGAAATTGAATCACTTTTCATATTTAAAACAAAGTACCAAGAATTAAGTGGTAAGACCATGTGCACGTTAACGATGATGACTTTGTAGCGATAATATTGTCATATAAAATGAAACGGAAATAATATATTTATACCGCCAGCAATAGCTAATAGGACATCCTCAGTGATTGTAACTCTTGGTAATATTTTCCCAATTTTATTTTCCCAAAGAGTAGCAATTTCCTTCATATTAAGGAAATTACATTTTGGTCGAAAATGTACACATTTATTCAATGTCCTTTTGTCTTCTGCTGCTTTTATAGTGAATTTTCCAATATCAGCACCAGCCACAAAATAAGCTGCATTTATATTTAAAAATAATAATGAAATTCTGAATGAAAGAAATTAGTGAATATAAAACAATAAAAATTATTCTTGTCCAAAGAAAATCAATTAATACACCTTTGTCGGAAAATAACATTATAGGTTAATTTTTTTCTTTATGTGTATACATTATATATTGAATTTTTCTTCGTGTGTTTTACTTTTTTATATATTAGCTTCGTCACTAATAAAAACATATATCAACACAGAAATACTACAAAAGAAATATGAATAACCTACGGATAATTTCTATCGGTAAACAACAAAAAATTGTCGCTAATCTATTAGTTATAAAAGGAATTTTAAAAGAAAAGAAACAAGAAAAAGAGTTTTTTGAAAATAATATTTTTATCAGGAAAAGAAAGTGTTTAAAAAGAAACGAGACATTCTGTTTTTATTAAGAAATGGATAAATTTGACCAACTTATTAATTTTGCGATATTTTTGTTCAATTTCACATACTATAATAACATTTGACCATTTTCCGTAGTTACATATTAAATCCATTTAACTTCTTCGTGTGTTTTACTTTTTTATTTTTTGAATTTTCTTCATTAAATTTCTAGCTCTGTCACTTGTCACTGATAAACACACACCTATATCAACATACAAACATTTTTCAAAAAAGAAACATTAGTTATTACAGACAGTTTCTATCGCTAAACAACAAAATCTATCACTAATCCTATTTAACGACGGATTATCGAAAAATGTGTTTACCTTTGACATTGCCATCACCATAAATTTGGAAATAATCAAGAGGAGGAAGAACATCAGAAGGATGTTTATTGTCATAATATGGCCAAGAAGCAATTGAATTGCAACAAATATAAGTATAAGGTATTTTCATTTCCTCTATAAATCTTCTAATTTTTCTCTTTTGTTTATACATATTTAGCCCTGGCTCCACTGGATTTGACCTGTCCACTTCATGTCCAAACTCTGATGGCAAAAATCTCTTAAAAAAATAATATTAACATGAGGTTATCTGTTATAACATGTTAAAATTTACTGATAATAAAAAAAAATTTCATCGATACATATATATATGTCATTGTCATTGTTACTTTAATAAGATTATAATTACTACCGACAAGGTTCTGTAGTCAAAGTAATTTCGTCACTTTTATGTATTCATTGGATGGTAACTCTTTTGGAAGTTCCTTAGGGACCGATTACTCTGCATAGACTGACTGAATGACGAAATCATTCACCGACATACTTTCACGTGATTTTTTGTCACTCATCATGTCAACAATCTCACTTCTGATATCTCTTTGTCACAAACCCTAGTTCTTGAATCCGCCTTTGGTCTTGCATTTATCTTCTTTTTTAAAAAAAAAAATCTACGAAACGTTCTCATCTTTCTTCTTCGATTCTTTACACTAACAGTGTATATGTCATGTCTTTGCACATAGATGAATTAAGATTGGTTCTGCTGGTTCTGTTGTATCCACTACTTTTGACTCGAAGTATAGTACAAATATGTAACAAAAAATGAATATATATACCTATATAAGATCATAACTCACTCTAAACTCGTTGACTCTAGATTCCGAAATCGCCTAATTTTACTAGGAAAAAAATTACCTTGATAGTTCCAACAACTTTCATGGCTTGAACAAGGACAAGTTGATCAAGTATACTTTCACCTCCAACAACTGATATTACAATATCAATCTCACGCTTTCTTAGCATATGCTCCATGAATTTTTGGTCATTTATATCACCCTATTAAAAAAAACATTATAAAATAAGATTTCTGAGTGAGTCCATAGAAAAAATATTGTTAATTGATCGAAGTGAAAAACAAAAATATTTTGATAAGGACATTGTGATAATATCATCATGACTCAAAAAAGTGAAAATTAAATAATAAAGAATATGAGTGTAACATATTTACGTGCAATATTATGGCCCCTTTATCTTCGAATTCTTTGATAATTTTGATCTTAGAATGAAAATTATCTGAAAATGATCTAATAAGAATATATGTTCTTCTATTAGCATCAAGACTTGCTTGTGTTATAAATTGTCCGATGAATCCCGTCGTTCCGACGATCAGAATCCGGCCACCTTTTCCGGCAGATCCATTAGAAACTAATAATGGTGAAGACATTTTTTCTTAACTTTCTCAAAAGATATATATTATTGGAAGAAACTAGAGAAAAAGAAAGAACTTTTAAAGATTTTTCAATTGATTTGGATGTAATGGTTATGGTATTATTATATAAGTACTATGTACTAATAACATGTGAAGAAAATGGTCTAATTTTGTTTTCTCAACTACCCTTCTAATTTTATTTTATTTTGGGGTTATTTATTTTTAATACAATGTTGACATGTAGGTAGATTTTTATAAATTAGGGAAAAAACCTCAAAAATGTCATCAAATTTGGGGAAAAGACTTATCTATGCTATCCGTTAAAAGTTTGACTCATATATGTCATTCCAGTTAACAAACAATGGAATAGATGAGCCTTTTCTCAAACAAAATTGGCATGGATAAGCCAAGGTTTTAACGAATGACAAATAAATTTTTTCTTTAATTCGATGACATATTTGAGCATTTTCCCTATAATTTTTATTAAGAAAAAAATTGATTGACTGATAGGTCAAAGTAAAACGACCCCCAGCAAATAAGAATAATAAAAGAGAAAGTGGAAGCAATAAGTCAACTATTTTACCTTAATAAAGAAAGATGCATATTTTTTAAACTCTATTATACAGTATGTCATTATCTTTAGAGTTATAGTCAAGTACTAGGATAATTCATGTGACTTGTGTCACATTAGCTGTGGAATTTTGTGTGTATTATTTGAAGTAGTCCCACTTTTGATGAGGGTAAACAGTTCCCTCAAAAAGCGACTCCGGATTCGAACCGAGACCTTTGATAAAATGAAGGAGCACTTACCACTCCACTCCATCAAATGACTCAAACCCGAAAGCTCTAGATAAAAGAAAAGCACAATTCCTTGTGTAGATGTAGGGTAATTTGTGACTACAATACAACAAACAACTACTTCATGCCCAAACAAATTGGGGTCGACTATATGAAATCATCCGGCTCTTCGTTTAAGCTTCATTTGTATCATCAAAATTTGTTAAATTTGTAACTACACTAAAAGAAAAACTACTGACATGAAACTAAAAAATGTAGAAGACTGCTGGACCAAGAAAATCGAAAGAAGATCACAAGGCCTCCTTGATGTTGAAGGTTCTTGATATATCCCTGGCATAGTCATATTGATTCAGTTCTACAAGCATCTTCTTCAATCGACGAGCAAATTTAGATGTATCTATCTCTCCACTGCTTGATGAGTGCTTCTTTTCGAGCACCCTGGCAAGTGAGAGCAAGTAATCCACCAATGGTCGTAGCTTTGGACTACACAGGTTAAAGAACACATCATTAGCAAGCAGAATCGAAAACTTTAATGAGAAAGGGAAAACGGGATGAAATAGAATGAATATTTAAAAGGGCCTAAACATTTTCTCCATGAAAAAGGAACCACGTAAATCAGATATTTATAAAGCAAGCTGATCGTGATGGTGGTGCAACAAGTATATAAGTGTTATCTGATGGTGGTGCAACAAGTTTGCTTCAAGGAATATGAACTTCCAAAAGTCGGATTCCAAAACCCATACTTAACTACAGAAAAAAGTTGGATTCCAAAACTCATACTTATCTATCGGTAAAAATGTGAACTTCCAAACCAAGAAAGCTAGAGTACGTAACTCCATTTGCTGTTTCCTTTTTTTTCTTTTTTGGGTTGTGTGTGTGTGGGGGGGG